CAGCTGGACCTACAGCTGGACCCCAGGGCCTGCAGCTGGACCTACAGCTGGACCCCAGGGCCTGCAGCTGGACCTACAGCTGGACCCCAGGGCCTACAGCTGGCTGCTGGTAGGAGGGGGGGTTTGGTTGGAAACGGTGCTCGCTGAAGTGGGTCCCGGAGGGCTCTGTGTTCCTCCTCCCTGCCCTCTCTGCTCTCTTCTTCCATGCCAGGAACAGCTCTTCTCTACCATGCTCCTCTGCCTTGGACCTGGATGACCATGAGCTGAACCCTCAACAAACCAGAGCCAAAATAAGCCCCTCCTCCTTTACCTTGCTAGTGTCAGATATATTTTTGCCATTGACAAAGTGACTAAAATATCCATCATCCTTTGCAAGAGCTATCGATGGTGAGTGGTTTAAGCCTGAGGTGTCTAACCCCCAGATATGGTTCCATAGCCTGTTAAGAACTGAGTCACACTCCACGGGAGAGCAGTGGGCAAGTGGAGCTCCTGCTGTATTTGCACTACCCCCTGAGGGTGCCTCCTGTCAGATCAGCAGCCACATGACACTCTCACAAGAGCTCGAACCCTACACTGCATGTGTGGGAGGTCTGGCTTGCTGCTCCTATGAGAATCTGATACTTGGTGATCTGAGGTAGGGCTGAGGTGGTGATGCTAGCACTGGGGAGGGTCATTAGTGTGGCTCACAAACAGCCTAAACATTGACACAACTAAACATGACCTTTCCCCCATCTGTGGAAAAAGTGCTCCATGAAACTGCTCCCTGCTCCCTGCTCCCTGGAGACCGCTGCTTTAAACACTGCAAAGTTATTACGAAGGTCCAACTCATGATGCTCCCTTGAGCATACACTTCCCAAGACTGCTGGGGTATAAGTGAAAGTGCTTGAGTGGCTACATCTGCGAGTGACACTTAATGATGTCACCTCTGCTCCAGGGTCCTCAGGAATGCTCACGGAGTGGTGGTGGGAGACTTCCCAGTCTTGTGATGAGTTAACAAGCGATGAAAAGTGATTTGCTGGTAGCTAGCCACATGGGAAGCTCACCTTCAAGAAAAGATGAGGGGAGAAGCCCCCTTGAGTGTTGAGGTCATAGGCGTGTGCCACCACACCTGGCTTTATCTGTGTTTAATTCACATTTCTAGGATGGCAGATGAGGAGGGACTTCATGACAACAAGAACAGCATATTGCCAAGCTCTTCACTGGCTCTGGGCCATGGCATTTGCTGCTGCTTGCAGTTGGAAGCTTCTTGGCTGGCTCCCCTTCCACCAGGTCAAGTGCCACCTCCTCAAAGAGGAGCCCCAGCCACCCCATCTCAGGTTGAGCCCTCTGTGGAGCTCAACAAGTGGAAGAGTACTGGGTGCTCGCTGGCTCCCCACTCCCCTCATCCCCAAGGCATTGGCATGAACTTCTTTCCTATCACTTGGCTCTATCTCTTTGTGGAAATCCAATTCATACCCTGGAAGCTAAGCATCTGTAGGTGGCAGCAGGGCTGGGTTTGGTTCCCAGCCACATATTTCTCCCTATGCTCCGCATGGGCATGACCTTTAGATCTGGCCCCAAGAAGGTCTTGAAAAACCTAAACAGGACTGAGAGGTTCTACAGGTGTCCCAGAAGCCCAGGGCTTTTGGTGTCCCCAGAATTCAGACGGCTTGCGAGGGAGCAGCAGGGGAAACTGAGGCTTGGCCATCGTACCCTGCTCCGCCAGGATGCAAGCCCACGTGAACTAAAGTAAATAGTTATGGAGTTGGCTGAGAAGTTCCTGGTGCTTGGAAGTGTGACGGGCACAATCTGACAGCCACGGCTGCGGGGCCAGCTTGCCCGCACACCCACCACTGCATGCACCTCTGAAGCTTTGCCTTGCTGGAAGCTGCTATGGCCCTTGGGAACCTGGGGCCTCTAGCACTCTGTCTGCCCAGTGATCACCCAGGCAGGAAGAGGCAGGAGGCTGGGGTGGCAGGTGTGTGCCGGACTGGATGTGCGAAAACCATGAGGCTCAGTGAAGAAGCTGAGCATTCTGTCGCCGCCCGGCTGCTTCTGCTGCGGAGGCCTGGCAGGGCTTGGGCCGGGGGCAGAGCTGGACCTGGACCAGGAAACCTCACAGGGAAGGGGGACAGACCCCTCCCACTTCACTGCGATTACACAGCCCCCTAAGAGATTCATGACCACCAAACAGCACTCCAGAAAGTTTTCAAGGCTATCCTAGAAAGAGACAGTGAAGCTGTTATGGTTTGCATCTAGTTGTCCCCCCAAACCTCATGCGGCTATAGAGCAGGCTTCTACAGTTTGTGATTAATTCATGACCCAACGCTGGGATTGTGGGTGTGAGTGCTGCACCCGCCCTGGGCGGAGGCCTGAGTGCAATGTCCGGGAGGCGGGGGGAGAGGGGCTCGCTCCCTGCTGCTAGTGCTCTTCCCTTTTCCTCTTGCTGGTTTTGCATTTTCTACCACCATGCACTGCTGCCCTCAGTCATGTGCACTCTGCCTGGTAGCCGCTGATTATGGACTGGAACTTCCACAAGCTGCGCTAAGTAAACCTCTCCTACCTTAGTGTTGGGTGTCCAGCATTTTGTCCCAGCAGTGAGAGAAAAGTAACAGAGACAGAAAGCAACATGCCAAGAAGTCTAACAGAGTGACACACCAGGCAGGGCAAGCAGTGAGCCAAAGTCCAACAAAGAAGAACCAGTAACAGGAAAAAGCACACGGTGGCAGGAACTCACCACCATCGTTCAGTAATAACTCTCCGTGGGAATGGTCTCAACTCCCCTGTCAAAAGACACACGTTGGCAGACTGAATCAAAAAATGAAACCCAACGGTATGCTGCACACAAGAAACACATTTGCGCCCAGAAGAAACAGACTAAAAAATCAAAGGATGCGGAGCAATATTCATGCAGTACCAGCTCCCAAGCAAGCAGGAGTAGCTTCCTGTTTCCAAGTCTTCTCTCCTTATGGATGCCTTTGAGTGACATGTTCCTGGCACTCCCCGCAACACCAAGAACAGGCCCAGAAGGAGCTGTTTCAGATTCAGTGTGCGAGGCTGTTTGCTGCCTGCTGAGCTGGGACTGCCACCACACTGCCTGTCACCAACAATGGGCCCTGGGCGTCCTGACTTCCTGTGGGGGCGCACGGTGCTCTAATCGTTCCTAGGCGGCACAGACTGCGTCTGAATAGCTTGCTCTGTCTATTGAAATCCCACCGTTCACTGAAGAGCACCAAAGCAACAGACTATTAAATTTAGTTAAATATTAGATTTCTCATTTAATGATTGCCCACACAACTGGTTTTATCAGCAGAGAGCTGGCTGTCTCACTGGGGAGTTGAGTTAAGCCATTTTATTTGTTCCCATAATTGCATTCAAAGAGGGCAGGAGCTCAGCAGAGAAATAAGAAGAGATTGGCATATTCCCTGAAGGGCTCTTCTTTTGACTTCAGGGCAGTGGGGACCCCCAGTCTGGAGCATACAAATGGCCACTCCTTAATTAAATGTGAGCCCCTCTAATATTTGGTGGAATTAGCTATTATCAGATCTGGACACAGTGAGCCCACAGAGACCGGCGCCTGCTCAGGAGGGCGGCCGCTTCCAGGCGGCGAGGCCTTTAGGCTGCTCCAAGACCTGCTTCCATGGCCTTGGGCTCGGGGGATTGGTGGCACTGCTGCCTGCCAAAGTCGGGAAAACAGCCAGATCCCGACGACAAGTAAAGGCAACGGTTCCAAAAACTGCTGCTTCCCGGTGGCTCCTTCACACCCTGCTCTCCCTTGCCCACTCCTCACCTTGGGAGCTGTCCCCACCTGGCCACCCAGCCTAGTGCCTGAAGGGGACTTTCCAGACTTCTGTCTCTACACACTGGATGTTCTGTTGTGACATTGTTGGAGGTACAATATGTACTGGCTTTTTTTTCTTCCTGGTACTGAGGATTAAACCCAGGGCCTTTGCACTTATCTATATCTGTAGCTTTTTAATTTTCTAAAAAAGTTTTTGAGGGCTAGGATATAGCTCAGTGGCATAAGCACCTGCCTGGCAAGTACAAGGTCCTGAGTTCAATCCCTGGTCTGAGGGGGTGGGAAGCTTTTAAGTTCTCGGCATGGTCTTGCTGAGCCGCCCAGGTTGAGCTCTAACTCACCACCCTCCTGCCTCCGCCTCCCGGAAGGCAGACACTGCAGCCACAGGCCACCACAGCCAGCTGTGCCCCTGCCTGGATGTGAACAGGCGATGCAGTACTTATGTCCTCAGGGCCACAGCGAACGGGAACGTCTAGAGGATTCTTGTACCCGCAGGATGGGGGGACAGGCAGGCGGCTGGTGAGTGAAGCGTGACACCAGCACCCTTTAAACAGAGCACAGAAGGACCCAGCTACGTGCCATGGTAGCTGACACCCAGGACTGTAGGGTGGCTGAATTTTAGAATGAACATGTTTTGCCTGATACTGTAAATACACCCCATGTAGTTCTTTAAATTAAGAAGGACAAATATGAGGTGACAATTTGAAACTGTGCGAAGCCCGAGGTAGCTACTGACTCAGTTTACTTCTATGAGGAGTGTGTCTTGGTGTGCGCCTGACACCAGTGTCGATCTACAGCAAGACTTGCTTTCTTTGTTCACAAAGCCACCCCTCCAAATGTCATGCGCACTTGCCCAGTACCTCTTCACATGGGTTTTAAATAGGCACCAGGGCCACCCTTGACAAGACAGGCATGAAGTTGGCACTTGGTTCTGCCTTTGGGAGATGCCAAGTGGGCGGTGCCCATGGAATTCACGGGACAGCTTGGAGGCAGCCAGCTCCAGGAGCTGGATTTGCTTCTTCATAGCACCAGCATTCTGGGAGGCTGAAGCAGGAGGATTATATATTCTTCCTCAACCTGGGAGGCCTAGTGACTTAGTGAGACCCTGTCTCAAATTTAAAAAAAAAAGGGCTGGGGGTACAGCTCAGTCTGTAGGCCCAGAATTCAATCCCCCATATCAGAAAAAGCAAAACGACTAATGGGGCAGAGGCAGAGAAACCTACATTCCCTGGGATCAAGGGTTGTGGTAAATGTCAGCCTGGAGCCAGAGCACCCAAAGGCGTTTGAGGGATGCTCCGGGGTCTTCGCTGTAGATGCCACCTTGTGTCACCCCACCAACATGCGCCCTTTCTCCCTGTGAACACCAGCAGTGGCCCGCTGTGTTTCGCCGGCTGTATACCCACACTTAGGCTGTCTAAAGGCCAGGGCGTCAAATGAGCCTCTTTGGGTCTCTGCCATAATTGCATTCTAAGGAAGCGCTTCTAAATAATTCAGAGTCGCAGCTGTGAACACCTGCAGGCTCTGTTTGTAGAAAAGATTTTCGTGAAGGGGCAACGTCAGCTATTCCCTGGGTGGCTTGGGGCCAAGGGGGTGGGGAGTAGGCGGGGCAGAGAGTTCTGCAAGCCTAATTCAGGCCTCCGTGAGGGCTGCCAGCCAAGCGCCTTGTCGCTGTCGAAGCGCCCAGCTCCTGGCTTCCGTGCTGCCCGACACGCAGGCCCTGGTGGCATCTGCCCCCACTGTGGCCGCGCTACCCGGCCAGGTGGTTTCCGTGGCTCTGTGGTGCTCATCGTGGGAGGGCTCCACCATCACCATTCCTGGGCACAGAGGCCTGAGGGCTTCTTTCAAATATAAAGTTCCCTTCTGTGGGCCGGGATGATGTTTGAACGGGGGGGGGGTGTAGAGGGGGGCTTCAGCTGCTGCACCGGTGGGGGTGTCGTGGACCTTCCTCCTCCAGAGCCTTGGTGCCTGAAAGCAAATCTGAGCCTGGGCGGGGCAGGCCCCCTACTGTTAGTTCTCTTCTGGCTAAAGCAGCAACTTAGGCAGCGTGGCTTCCGCGCTGGCCACGTGAGCCTCTGGGGCAGCTGGCATCCTCTGGGTCTGTGCCACCCGCAGGAGACCTGACCACAAGGACAGCTACATAAGCGGGCCACAACGGAAGCAAGGGCCAAGAGCCCTGCATGGCACACATGACGCGGGTGCAGCCCACTTGTTGCTCACGAGCGCCTCACACCCATGAAGCGCAGCAGCGACGCCTGTGTTGCTTCGCCGTTACATCTGGAACATTCTGGTCTTTTCTCCTGTCCCACTTGCTGGATGGAGAAGAGCACACCGGCGTGTGATACCACCCACACCCCGAGTACACAACACTTTCTCTGTCTAACCCCATGTGGTCTGCTCTGTGTCCGCAGAAGGCTGAAGTGACCGCCCAGCTCTAGACTGTAAGTTGCTGCTTTTTTAAAAATGTAGGGGTTTCACGATGCAGAGTGATCCTCCTCTTTTCAGCCTCCCCAGTGCTGGAATTACAGGTGTGTGCCACCAAGCCTGGACTCAGTAGCCAGCTCAGCGAGCCTAGGGGCAGGGCTGGCACAGCAGGTGGTGCCAGGGACTGGACCACGGTCCCTGCACTTGCCTAAGCAGGTGCTTAGTCGGCTGAGCTATTTTGCCGGCTCTGTAAAATGCTTCTTAAGTACACAGTGGTCCAGGCCTGGAATGCCATCACTCTGGAAAGTTGAGGCAGAAAGATCACAAGTTCAAGCCCGGCCTGGGCAACTGAGCAGCTTTAGCGAGACCATTTCTCAAAATAAAAACACAAAGGTCTGGGGATGTAGCTTGGTGTGAAGACCCTGGGTGCAGTCCCAGTGCTGCAGAGGGGGGAAAGGATGCTGCAGGTTGGGAGGCCTCTGTGGACAGCAGGCAACAGCAGAGGATCTCTGGTCTGCTAGTGCTCCCTGGATTGACAAGCTCAAGAGCCAGCCAGTTCAACAGGTGGCCTGAAGAGGTGGTCAAGCATCTCAAGGTTGGGAGCATTCAAATACTACAGGTGCTGGTGGCGGTTGGTACATTTTTAGGGTGCACTTCCAAACACTGCACCATGCCCCACACATATAACCTGGTTTCCAGGCACAGAATAAGTAAGATATTTTCTCACTCCTATCTAAGATGTGGGTCTGTTTCACTGTGGCCTGCTCCTGTGCTTTGGGAGCTCAAAGGACCTGCCCTAGTACTGCAGAATGCTTCCACAGTGGGGGGTGGCTGCAGCCAGCTGGAAGTCCAAAGCCTTTGCTAAAAACACGGGAGTATTGGTCATTGTTCCCAGTGCTGGCTAGGATACCTGACGCCAACTCCTTAGAAGAAGGAGAGGTTTGATGTGGCCCAGTGCAGGGGTTCAGTCCACGGCTAGCGGGGTCCATGGCAGCAGCGTCATGGTGGAAGGGCACGAAGGCAAAAGCTGTCCATGTCACGGCAGCTTGACGGTAGACAGGGGAGTGAGGGCTGGGAGGGAGGCAGACCCATCAGGCCATGCTCCAGGGGCCCGGTTTTCACCAGGCGCCACCTCCTCGCAGCAGTGGAACAGCTGTGCAGTGGGCCAGCCACCACGAGTGCAGCACCCCCGGCATCCAGGCGCCTTCCTAAGCCTCCCAGTGGCCAAGGTCAGGGGTGTTCCAGACCTAAACCACAACCACAACAGGCGCTGTGGTGGTCTGTGAAGCAGATACGATAACAGCGGTGCTCTTGAAGGAGCAGACGAAAGCGTTCATACGAGCAGCTTTTATGAGAGGCTCACGCTGTATGTTCAAATGTCTGGAGATAGTTCTGTGGCTTTTTTCTTGACCATAGCCTTAAAAACCAGCGCTTACGTGGGAGCTAGTGAGGGACTTGTAGGCGGTTGCAAAAGTGGCTCAAGTATTCAACGTGAACAGCACAGCTTTTCTTAAGGAGAAACGACAGACCCTGGGAGTGGCAGCTCCTGGCAGGTCCCTCTACCGGCCCACCCTGGTGCACCCCTCAGAGCCCACTCCATCCACCTCACCGGGATCTCTGGGCGGCTGCAGCAGCGTTGGCAAGCACCCCGCTAAATCACCTTGGCGAGACCTCCCACTGTGACGTGGATTGCCGTTGACGCCCGATCGGTTCTTCCCCCCCTCGAAGTCCTCGCTCTGCCCTCAGGCTGGCAAGCTCCCCCAACACCGCCACGCCGCTTAGCACGAGTCTCTCTGCTCTGCTCTGGGCTGTGAGTTTCCGGCCACGTTTTGCTGCGTTAGAGTGGAGCGTGCTCTCTCCCCATCACGATGGCCTTTGCCACACCATGATGGTCCTGGACAAAGGCTTCTAGCATCCCAGCATGGGGCCCCGGGCTGTGCAGCCTGCCTGTGCAGAGCCCCACGCCATGCACGTGGCCCGGGGCCCACAGAGGCAGAGGAGCCTTGCAGTGCACATGGACCTTGGGCTCCAGGACAAAATGGAGTCCAGAGGCCCACCCTGCACAGGCTTCTGAGCGCCCCCAGCCTTTGGCCCGCTCAGCGTGGGAGGCCGAGGAGGGCTGTGGGGCCACCCCCACTGGCTGTGGGGCCACCCGTTCCGTCAGCCCCTGCCACCACTATTGGCCCATTCTCACGCCCTGGCTGGGAAAGCATGGTTATCTGCCAGAGGCTGGCTGCTGAGTCCCAGGAAGCTCAGAGGGCGCGAACACTTACTTTTCTTATCCGTGGTGTTGTGCACCGTCACTGTGGGCACCCCAGGGCCTGGATTGGGTGGAAAGAGAGAGACAAGAGTGAGCATGGGTTCAGCTGAGGACAAACAAAAAAAAGACGTTTTTCTGAGGACCCGGCTTTGTGGGTGAGGGGTCAGAGGGAGGATGGGCCCACACGGTGGCCAAGGCGCTGCGCTCTGTCTCTGCGCTTGGGGCAGTCACTGACAGCCCTCGAGTGTCCGCGGAACATGCTTCCACCAAGGTGCTGCACAAGCAAGCTGCATGTAGGAGGAGCCAGGCTCTGAGTTCCAATCTGTTGTCCCTGCCCTGGTCCCCCCGTGTTGCTGGGTGGTGGCAGCAAGTGGTGCTCCCAGTCATGCTTGAAGGGGCTGACCAACTGCACAGAGCCGCGGGGGAGCCAGGCTGGGGGAGCGAGAGGGAGCAGGTACACTTCATGCTTGAGGTCTTTTCAAACTCTGACCAGTGTATGGGGACCTGGCGCACCAGACGCCGAGGGGCATCTAGGTGACACTGTCAGAGCACTCAACGATCCGCACGCCGCAGCCCTCGCTGGGAGCCCTGTACCGGGCCTGCTTCCTCATTACCCATTTTCATCATGCAGGCCCAAATCCTCAGGTCCTGGTAAATCACCCACCCCAGCCTCGGTCTTAACAAGACGCCTGTCCGCTGACCCTCCAGACAGGAAGCAGCTCTATCATCTGGTCTCTTAGAATTCTTCACCCAGGATTACAAAGGTAACAAACAGGATGGCACTGAAAGCCTTGTATCTCAGGTGTCCCCCGCACCGCAGGCCCAGGTGTCAGGGTCTCAGGGGAAAGCGCGAAGGTCCGACCCGGCACGGTGGCCCTGGCAGTGCTGTGACGCTGGACCTCAGAATCCAGATGCTGCTCGCTGGGGCCTCTGGGTGCTCAGGTCTGAGCGTAGAGGTCACGCCAAGATCTCAGGACACGCAGCACTTGGGCAGGACAGAGGTGACGTTTCGTGTCCCTGGTAGCATTTCCTGCACCCTTCCAGGGCCACGTGACAGTGGCCGAGTGGAGAGCCAGGCATCTGCGGCGGAGTCGCCTGGCTCAGAGACCTCTCTGCAGAGGTAGCAGTGTGCCTACCCTTGCTGGAGCCCAGAGAGGGTGCCGAGAGTGCTCCATGCTGAGGGGGCGGTGGCCTGGCATGGCCAGGGACATCCAGAGGTGGAGGCTCTGCTGGGAGCCACCGACCGTGGTGCAGCAGCAGCACACATCACACAGGTGCCTGGTCGCTCAGGGACCCCAGCCACCGCCCCGGGCATGGCCAGGCGCAGGAGGCCCAGGCCCTTCCCTTGGTGAGGCCTCTCCCACCATTCAGAGAGGAGGGCTGGTAAACCCCAGGATGCTGTCACAGCAGATCTAGGGTCACCAAGGCAGATTTACACTAGGGCAGGTCCTCTGCAGCACTTAGATCATGGCATCAGAAAGCAGCCCTGTGTTCCTGCAGTTCAAGTCGGAGCAGCCATCCTGTATTTTTGCTGCCCGCTGTGTGGAGGGGCAGCGATCCAAGCGTACACACGTACACACACACACACACACACACACACACACACACACACGTACATACCCTGAGAGATGGCGCTTACTGTAAGAGAGCTCAGCACTGGCTGCAGGGCTGAATTACTGAGGTGAGCTGTTTCCCACCCTGAGATCAGGTGCCCCCGGGGACATTATGGAGAAGGAGACCAGTTATAAAAATCCTGCGTGCACGCAGGGTGCACATTTGCTGATGAATAATGTAAACAATTATTATTTATTTAGTTCCTAGTCCGTAAAAGGTCCACTGCTAGATGTTTCTAATCTGATCTTCACAGCAGTGCTGCAAAGCAGACACATCTAACCAGATTTTACAGAAGAGAGGATGGGCGTCAGGAGCTCTCAGCCTCGCCTTGTGCACACCTGGGGGAGTCGCTGCGCCCCAGTGTTGCCTTCCCACTCCTAACCTGTGAGTTCCAAGCCTGAAGTCATGCAGTACTAAGGAAAGGGATGACACACAGCCAGCTCTACTTATGCCATCTCCCTCCCTCCGCGAAGGGACCCGCATGCCCCTAAAGGGTCCTGGAATGTTGAGCTGCAGGTAGGGGGGCTTATTTACGTATAGACACGTATCTCACCTGTACAGAGAATAGTAATGGAAAGGCAGTTGCGGGTGTACCTGCAAGTTTTACCTCATCTCGACGCTAAGCTATTCTTAGCCTGGGTGATATTTTTAAAAGTGAAACACAGCAGATAGGGTCCAGCCCACCAGCGCGTTTTCCTCTGATCACCATAAAGCTACGAGAAGAAAGCCCAGGGGCAAAGTTCCAAGACGGTGTTTTGGGCAATATATATTGATATGAACCAGAAAGCACAGGCGTCTAAAGAAAAAAGTAACTTCAGAGCTGCTGCTCAGTCCAGGAAACAATCCGCAGAGTGAAGCGAGCACACGCAGAGCCGGAGAGGAGGTCACAAACCGAGCTCTGCGGAGGGCTCAGCACCCAACGTTAAAGGCACGCACTGTGAGAAAACAAATGAGCCCATTCCATGACCAGCGAAGGGTGTGTGGGCGCACTGTGTTGAAAGCAGACCCGCGAACGCCCCACAGATGCGTGAAGAGGTGCTCGCCCTCAGGGATTACAGACACGCACATCAAGGCCACACTTGGCTACCATCGTGCGCCAGTTAGAGCAGATGCTAACAGAAAAGGTGAAGAACGAAGAGTACTGGGGGAGCTGTGTAGGAAGGGAACCCTGTGCGCCGCCGGGAGGAGCGTCCCCTGGGTGGCCATTACGGGAACCAGCAGAAAGGATTCTCAGAGCGCCAGAATAGAATCACGCAACGCACCAACCTCAGGCCTGGATGCACATCCAAAGGAGGGAAAATCCTGAGGGTTTTTCCCCAGGACGGGGAGGAGACTGTCCTCCTGGGTCCCTGCAGCTGTGCTTGCATTTGCCGAGATATGGACGCATTGTTGGGTGGACAGATAAAGAAGACGGGGTGTGTGCGTGCGGGAATACCATTCGGCCTCGAGAAGCAGGAAGTCCTGTCCTTCAGACAGCAGGAGCCGACCTGCAGGACACTAAGTGAAAGAAGCCAGGCACAGGAATAAAAGTATGGCATGACCCACCCGCAGAAGGCAACACCGAACGTCACGGAGAGTGGACCAGCGGCCCCCAGAGCTCCGGGGCTGGAGGCGAATGCTGGGAGGCGTTGGCTGGGGGACACACACTCATCCGGACAGCAGGCATAAGTTAAGAGATCTGTTGTGCAGCGTGGCGACCAGCTAATGTGTTGCTGACAACTGCTAAGAAGGAGATCATGACACCCACAGTATAGTGCATGTCAGTGTACCTCAGCTGACAACTGCAGGAGGGAGCCCGGATTTGTGGCAGAATGCACAGGACAGCAGTTTTGGGAAAGAATTCACTTCCAGCCATGCAGGGTGATGGTCCTGAGGCTGTGGGACCTGCCGGGGCCCTCCTGAGGATTCGCCTCCTGGGAGTGCACAGAGCAGCTAACAGGGACACGTGAGAGACCACCCCTCTCTGCACCACAAGGAGAGCTGGCGAGCTGGGGGGGTGTTCACACAGCGGGGTTTTTATAGCCTATGGAAAGAACCGCTGGGTGCATACCCAGGGGCACGGACACAATGCCACACACAGGGCTGGGACAGCTCCAGGCTGCAGAGTCGTGACGGGTGTGATGCATGCTCACATGAACACACAGCCGGTGCAACTTCCCTATACAAGCGGTGCACAGCAGGGTGTCTCATGGCTGCACTGCAGTTTCCCTAGTCTGCTCCCTACGGAGGGATCCACTGGGCTCTTGTGTTTGTTCATTTTTACCACCGTCGGTGTCGCCGAGCCCTCTTGTGCGCAGTCTGCACAGGGCGAGGCTGCAGCTGTTGGCCCGCCTGTGGGCAGTACCGCATGCCAGCTGACGAGACCTTGCAGTCGGCCTTCTCTTCGGTGCTTGTGGTGTGGACACAGTGGCTCACTGACAGGAGCGAGGCCCTTCCTGCTGGGCATGGAGGTCATGCCTGCCCTCCCCTGCTCCTGTGGCCACCTCCTCTTTGTCTGTCCAGACTATAGGCTGGGAGATCTGCCTTCACATGGTGCCTACTGAGTGGTGACAAAGGGACAGGAGCAAGGGAATCTGCAGAAATGCAGTGGCTGGGAACACGTGCTGAGCACGGGGTGGCTCTTGTCCATGTGGGGGCCCTTGGTGACCACCTGTCACCTGGCTGAGACCTGGCTGGCTCCCACTGAGCGGGGTGCAGTCCACATCCCCCAAAGTGGTCACAGGAGCATGGTCTTGTGGCAGCATGGGCAGGGTAGATGAGGTCAGAGATAGTGCAACAGCTGACCACAGCTGGTGGAAACATTGTGCATTTCGGCAAATGCCACCAAGCTAATGAAGATCTGAGGTTATCATTTTTAAAATCCTTTTTCTTTTCTAGTGGGGAAATATTCTCAAGCAGTTCAGAGGCTGCAGATTTGGCTCAGCGGCAGGATGATTGAAAGCCCTGGGTTTAGTCCTTAGCACCAAAAACAAAAGAGAAACCTCTTATAAAATACAATTCAAGGGGCTGGGAGATGGCTCAGTATAATAAGGGCTTCCCTGGCAAGCGCAATGGCCTGAGTTCAATCCCCGGTTCCATCAAAACCACCCCCCAAAACAAAAACCAATTCAACCCCCAAAATACAGTAAAATCAAAACAGACCAAAAACAAATAAACCCCCATCCCTCCAAAAAAAACTATGAAAGAAAAAACAAACAAAGCAAAAGTGTCTTTAAATTGTTGTGCAAAGTTGGACATGTTTTCGGGTTTAGCAGGCATTTGTGCTTCTTGTGTCTGTCCGCAAGCTACCTTCCCTTTCTGCTCACACGCAGACTGTCCCGGGATTTACACTGTTCAGGAAATTAGCCCCTCAGCACAGTGCCACAGAGGTTCCTCCGTGCTCCTCACGAGTGCTGGCAGCACCAGGGATGGCATTTATGATGGGTGTGGGCGTGGTGGGCTGACTGC